GAGTCAGTGTTACTTCAGAAGCTCCTTAAGCACTGGGAAGTTTCAGTTCACTTCATGCAGGATGAAGGCTTCTAGCTTTGAATTTTAAACTCTTCCCCCTGCTTTCAACAAATTAATTTATTTGAATTCCTGATTAATAATAAAAGGCCACGCCATCAGCATTCAGAACTCCAGCAGGGAATGTCATGGCTCAAAGGACAGAAATCTGCTCAGAGCTACAAGAGAACCCAACTGAATTTGTGGCGTCTCAGTCTATGAATGTGTAAGCACTTCATCTGTTCGCTACGGCACAATGTGTTGCGAGACTACACATGCTGCAGACCAAGAGCAGAACAAGCAGGCAGTATGATAGGGGAGAAGCCAACGTTGTCAGACAGGTTTTATTTTTGTCTGACCATAAATACAAATATGCCACAGAAATCTGCTCTTCCAGCAAGCTCTTGGGTTTTAAAAATGAGACTTTGCTAGCTCTGTTCTGAGTATTTAGTCAACACTGCTACAGACTTATTAGTGCAGGTGACTGTTGCAAAGCAAAAGATAATTTAATGGTATTCTATTTAGTGTTACTTTAAATGAATTTATTTCCCTTGTTTAGTTCAGCTTCTATGCACACAGAGCAGAAGAAGAATACTAACCTGAATAAACAGCATTGTCAAACTTTTCCTCCTTAGCATGACAAGAACAAAAATTTCTAACACACACACACAAACTGAAATAAAAAAATCACAGGACCTCTTAAATAAGTTACATGGCGAATGAAAGCCAGGACCTATCAAGGTGGCAGTACTTTAGCTTGCTACCATAATACAGTGCTGTGCTGTGCAGTGCAGTGCAAAGCAATCTTACAGAGAGAAAAATAAAGAAGTTCATCCAGAACATCCATAGAACTGCTCCTACAGAAGAGTTATAAACTTACATGATTGTTAATTATGTAGTTCCTGTTACTACTGAATTCCTACTAAAATTAAGAACCAGTTGTGTATTTCTTTACAGTGCTCAAGGGCATGATTTTTCCTCCCTCACCAACATGGATTGGAACTGCTCACTGCAGAATAGTTCCCCCAACCCTCACAGACAGTCCAAAAGGATACCATGGTTGATGATACTAATGCCACTATGATACCTAACAAGACCAGACAAGGTATACCACCTTGTCCAGGTGCCTCCAAAGGTCATCCACAACAACCAATGCAGTTTTCTGTCTAGGTCTGAATCCCAACTGGGAGTTAGATAACTGCTTTAAACAAAGCCATCTGTAATTGCTGCCACACAACCTTCTCTACAGCCTTCCTAAAAAGGGAGCCCTGGAAGCAGGATGGTAATTATCTAAGATGACCAGGTCAAGTGATCGTGGATGGCATCACCCTCCCTCCAGGACATGTTCACTACTTCCTACACTCACCTCATTTTCACTCTGACCATACAAGCCAGGAGTGGCACAAGTCTAATCTACAGGTGGTACAGCTTGTCTCTCAAAGGACCCTGTCTGCTTCCTCAGTTGCCACAGGCTTGAAAAAATCTCCAATCACCTCATAAGACATATTTCTGTCATCTCATGAGATCCTGCTTATCCTGCATCTGACTCTGAGTTGATATCAGCAAATTAACTATGAAATGCCTGGCCAATTATGATTCTAGAAGCTCCCTGCCCCAGTGTGTACCCGTTCTTTCTGAGGAGATGTAACTCCATTTAGAACAAGTAAACTGCTAATTCCTGAGTTCATGAACTACCCACCAACAAGAACTCTATCTTCTCAGGATTCAGTGCTAGTTTATGGGCCCTCATCCACCTCACTGTTGCATCTGGGCAATTAGTTCACAACATGTATAACCTGTCTCTCCTCAGTCAGATGTTATGGAGAGGTAAAGCTGAGTAGCATCAGCATATCAATAACAGTCCCCAGTAGCTTCCTATAGATGCCAAACAGTATCTACATGAAACAAAATAGTGCATTGTGGCACTCCACACTCTAGCAGTCTGGGTGAAGAGGCAGTGACTCAATAATAATCTCAGAGAATGACTGAGATTAACATTGAGAAGAAGTAGAACTACTAGAACACATTGGTACTGCTAATTCATGAAAATGGTCCAGGAGAATATTTAATGGTATAGAAAACTACCCAGAGATCACAATGCATCTGTCTCTTTCCTTCAGGAGGTCATCTATTAAGGCAACAATAGCTTATTCTGCCCCGTTTTCAACCCTGATTGAAAAGGATTGAGATAAGGACATCTGCAGCTACATGCATCACCCTCTAAAACACTTTGCCCCAAAAAGGACTAACTGTGACATGTACTGGTTGGAGTAATCTGAATCCAGAGACAGTTTCTTCAGAAATCACAAATCAGTACTTCCTTTAAAGAAGGTGGCACCAATATACACATCTACTCAACCTTTCAGTTAGCATGAATAACCCAAATTGGGAAGGGTCAAGACAGCATGTAATAGGCCAGATAGCTGCATGCACTCTTGCTTACATCCTCAGACTAGATCCCATATAACTAGACCAGATGATGCAACAGATACGTAAGTATATATTGCAAGAAAAGCAGCATTTATGTTAGCATGAAATTTGTGTCAGCAGGTATTTTGAGAGTTTTAGCGTTTAGATTTGCTAGAACAAATGATAGTAAGCTATTAACTATCCTATAAAAGCTTTGCTAGCTATCTGAGGATGCTATGTAGGCTACAATATAACAGAAGCTGCCAGAGTAGGCATAACTCTCTACATTAATGGCTAGTCAGTTCCATGGCAAGACCTATTCTATATGTGATAAACCCCATGCTGAATCTTGTGCTCTAGTCACATCCTAGTTTATAACATTGTTCAGAGCACCTCAGAAAGAAGCCCAGGCTCCATATAACCATACTGGGCCACTGAAAAATTGTCCTGAAATGCCCTTTCTATTTCCCAAGAGATCAGTACTGACCTCATTAACTCTGGATTTCTCCAGAGCATTCAAGAATCTATCAGATTATATTATTCCCTGGGGGTGGATCATCTTAATGCGTCTCCTACTCTGGTAGAAGGGGAACGATGAGGCGACATCAACCCTTACCTGGCTGTGGTAGAATAATGCTACTTCCTACCCACCCCAATGCAAACCTTCTTCTTGTGTTCCGAGGTAAAAACTAAATTTAGGGTACACCCTGCCCAATGATAATCTGAGGCAGACCCGGGACTGTCACAAAATCCCAAACTTAAACTCCTTATACCAGAGAATAGTGTATTAATTTAAGCTCCCACTATCACTATAACCTAGTTTACATAAAATATATCTAGAATGAAATATAGTTAAAATGGCCAACCAGGTAGATTTGGGATGCTATTAAAAGATGCAAATTGGGTAAATAAAATAATCCAAAAGAAAATTCACATATTCACATTCCTCATACAGTGGGGCAAAAAAGTATTTAGTCAGCCACCAATTGTGCAAGTTCTCCCACCATGGTGGAAAATAAGTATTTGGTCAATATCAAAAGTTTATCTCAATACTTTGTTATATATCCTTTGTTGGCAATGACAGAGGTCAAACATTTTCTGTAAGTCTTCACAAGGTTTTCACACACTGTTGCTGGTATTTTGGCCCATTCCTCCATGCAGATCTCCTCTAGAGCAGTGATGTTTTGGGGCTGTCGCTGGGCAACACGGACTTTCAACTCCCATGGTGGAAAATAAGTATTTGGTCAATATCAAAAGTTTATCTCAATACTTTGTTATATATCCTTTGTTGGCAATGACAGAGGTCAAACATTTTCTGTAAGTCTTCACAAGGTTTTCACACACTGTTGCTGGTATTTTGGCCCATTCCTCCATGCAGATCTCCTCTAGAGCAGTGATGTTTTGGGGCTGTCGCTGGGCAACACGGACTTTCAACTCCCATGGTGGAAAATAAGTATTTGGTCAATATCAAAAGTTTATCTCAATACTTTGTTATATATCCTTTGTTGGCAATGACAGAGGTCAAACATTTTCTGTAAGTCTTCACAAGGTTTTCACACACTGTTGCTGGTATTTTGGCCCATTCCTCCATGCAGATCTCCTCTAGAGCAGTGATGTTTTGGGGCTGTCGCTGGGCAACACGGACTTTCAACTCCCATGGTGGAAAATAAGTATTTGGTCAATATCAAAAGTTTATCTCAATACTTTGTTATATATCCTTTGTTGGCAATGACAGAGGTCAAACATTTTCTGTAAGTCTTCACAAGGTTTTCACACACTGTTGCTGGTATTTTGGCCCATTCCTCCATGCAGATCTCCTCTAGAGCAGTGATGTTTTGGGGCTGTCGCTGGGCAACACGGACTTTCAACTCCCCCAAAACATCACTGCTCTAGAGGAGATCTGCATGGAGGAATGGGCCAAAATACCAGCAACAGTGTGTGAAAACCTTGTGAAGACTTACAGAAAATGTTTGACCTCTGTCATTGCCAACAAAGGATATATAACAAAGTATTGAGATAAACTTTTGATATTGACCAAATACTTATTTTCCACCATGATTGACTAAATACCCCTCTGTATGAATGGTATTCATTCTGGTTAGTGCCAGTTTTGCCCCACTGTATGAATGGTATTCATTCTTGTTAGTGCCAGTTTTGCCCCACTGTATGAATGGTATTCATTCTGGTTAGTGTAAATTTGCAAATGAACTGAAAACACCCACATTCAAGTGGATTATGTCCTATGTCAATCAGGAGAAGCACAATGCTATTTGGCCTTTCTGTCCTAAGTATCAAAATATCTTGGGCAAAGTAACTATTCTCAAATTCAAAAGTCAATACCCAATCATATATTATGGACTTATGTCTAAGAAGCTACATAATATTACAATAGCAAAACAGCATACAGATATGATAAACAGATGAAGCTGGACAATTATATCTGCACAGATGTCTGTCCAAACTGGAACAGAAATATAGCAGCTTCAAGGAAGGATTTTAGAAGATACGGATCTCACATACCAGCCTTGTTGACTAAACCCTCCCTGGCCCAATACCTTCTCATCTTTCGTATTCACGTCGACTTTTTTTGATCGGATGGCTTTGGTTACATGGTCAATGTTGTTTTCTCTGCAATAGTCAAATATGTTCTTATCTTCCTCCCTAAGAAAAAATAAAGAGGGGGTATATTTCCTGTTATCAAGCAGCAAATGCAAACCACACAAGCATGAGAAGCTAGCTTTTTCATCAGTTCAATCATTTTAGCTTTACTGATTACTTTAGTGTTTTTGGCAAGTACACATCCTGCATCATGGAACACTTAAACAATATACTGCTAACTAACCTCTCCAAGAAGTATAAGCTATAAACCAATTTCACCCAGGAAGAAACTATTATGCATTTCTCATAATGCATTCAAATTTTAAAACAACATTTTCTATTAATGTAATTATTTAGGAAATTTATTCACCAACTTTCAAATATGACCCCCCCTCCCATTTAATATAAACCTGCTCCTCACCACTCCTCTCTTCAGCAATCCTTGCTTCTTAGCATGAGGGAAGCACTTATCTTACCTTTAGGGACTGCAAGAAAAAAAGTTAAAGATAAAATTCTCCATTCATAATCCTATCTAGCAGAGACCCATATATTCTAGATTCCCTGCCTGAACACTAGTGTATCTTTTGCCAAACTATTGATTATATATCTCTGAAGGATATAAAATGGGACCTAGAAAAGCAACCGATAAAAACTTGAGGCATGAGATGAGAAAAATAAAAGAAAACATAACTGAAGCTAGTTTATATCAACACATTTATTCTTACCAACTGTCTACCATGTTCATACGCTGGCTTTTGTTCTTTAAACTCCTCACTTCTCTTTTTAAAGATTCCTCAACTCCATCCAACCATTACTTTTTTGGTCTTCCCTTCTTCTCAATGTGTTCACTCTTCCTTTATATTTGTTTTGTGATCTGCTCTTCACTGATTCTCTCTCACCTCAGTTTACTTCTTTTGTACTAATATAACTTTTTGTATTCAATGCCCATTCGTACATTCTTAACGTTATGTCTTCTTGTTTGCTGTGCATACTTAAGTACCTCATTTCCCACTTCCACAAAGTGGGCAGAAGCACACTCTTACACCTAGCCATTTTTGCTTCATTTGCTATTTCCCATTTTTAGTTAATATCTTATCAGAGTACACAAATTTGTCTACTTGCTCTAGTTTTCCACCCCCCCCCATTAACTTGGAGTAATTTGGAATCATTCATTCCTTGTCAAACACTCCTTCATGTAACATACAACGTAGCTAATGTTTCCAGCAAATGTTAGTTCTCAGCTAACAACATGGTATCATCTGCAGAAATATACATTCATGTCATAATCAATTTGTAATGTCACTATGACCATTCCATACACTTTTATTCATAAATACATTGAACAACTGAAGGGACATCATACATCTTTATCTTATGTCCTACTCAAAGTCTCAAATGCTTCTATTGTATACTGCTCTTACGGCATTCAGCAACCAACCTTTAATTTATTTGCATAAAGTATTCCATTAATTCAAAACGATCATGCACTTTTTCTAAACCAATGAGCTTTCAATAACACTTTCTCAAATTTATACATTTGTCAATGACCTGAAGAGCAACAATCTGATCTGCACACCTCTGCCTCACCTAGACCCCACACTTCATTTTCCAAATTTTGCTCAATGTCACCCCTTGTACTCTTTCAGTCAGAATTCTATCAAACAAAATTTGACTGTTTGACTATGTTCTTCGCAATTCTTTCTATACAAGTTATACAATATCTTTCTCTCATCCTCATTTACTGCACCATTCTTGTAGATGCATTTTTTTCTCATCCACAAGCACTTTTCAACTCATCATTCCATCAAGCATATTTTTGTACTTTCCATCAGCATAACTCCACACACTTTTGTGGCACGTTGTAACATCATTCTTTTCACTCCATTCCAAGCGTCTTCCACATCTTCTTTTTGTCCATTACCATTCATTCTTTTGAGAGATTCTAACACTTTTCTACACAGGACTCATACCTTCTGTCCCTGCAATTATTCTACTTCAACTCTCATTTCTTTCACATTTCTTTTTCTTTCTTATCCTTTTCCCCCAATCAAGATAGCTGTTAATGCTACCAAATAATGGTTTGTCAAACATTCAATCTCTCATCTCCCTTGTATGATTCTCTAATTACATTTTTCATCACTTTAAACAATTAGATCCTATTTTTAGATTTATATGCATTCCTTTGTCATGAGTATATATTTCTGAATAGACATGTTTAAAGCATGTATTGGCAAGATACTCACTATACTTAAGTCTCTGAATGGCAGAGTTACTTTTTCTGCACTCTCTCATTCCCATCCATCCTTTTATGCCACCTAACACAGTAACATTCATGTTAGGTCATTGCCATCCAGAATATTTCACCTCCCCCCCCCAAGAATTCATCTCTAGTATCTCCCACAATCATCGTACACTGGAGCACAGCATGTAACGACCATCAATCTGTAGATTTGTATATACCCACAACAATCTAGATAATACTAATGTATACAATTTGACATATATTTTATCCTTTTTATCCATAGTTAACTCTACATTTTCACTACCTTGAATATATTCATCAGCTCCATTCTACAACATCAGAGCATGTTCTTTCAGATTCATTCCATCTTTTCCTTTAACGTTAGTTTTAACAGACAACAATATATTGACTTCTATTTCATTTGTTCATTCATGCTCTTTACCATTTATTTCTCTTATATTTCAAGCCTCAATGTTCTATATGGCATAGTTGTCACTAGATGAGGCCACAGAGTTTGACTTCTGCTGTTCATCATAGCTTTGACTGATTTCAACTTTCACTTAAAACTTTTCAGTAAGACAGGGAAAGTGTAGAGTAGGTTACTAGCTTTAATTATACAAATGCCATATGCAACATTCGCTGCTAGCAATAAGTTAGTTTTGCACGCTGTGGCTAGTATGCCACAAGCACAACCAAAGCCTCCTTTTATCCCAAGCCTCTAATATACTATGCAATTTCTACAAGTTATCTTGCAAGTCATCTTACCATTGTCTGCTTCCTATCAATTAGAACATTCATGCAACGTACTGATGCACAAGGCTCAGTATCAACACAATATATGTAGCTCAGTACCAAGTAGGCTTTCTGAAATGGATGCTGCCAAGGGAGACATAATGACTACATTTCAGATACCACGGCAAATTATAATTAAAAGCATAATCTGACAGCATGTGTGAATTGCCAGGCAAAACCTGTAGCTTAGAATATGTAAAACAGTTATTTTGAGGTATTCTGTGTCCAAATCAATACACTTAGGTTTTGGACCATGCATTTGATCTGGGCATGGACCAAAATATAGGTCTTCTGGGCAGTAATTTGAAGGGAGGAAAAGTGGGGAAAAGCCAAGGACAAAGCTGCGATGGTAGCTGAGGGGAGGCAGAGGAGGAGCTGGGATGAGCAGAGGTGGGGAGGCCAATGGAAAATGCTGTGCTGGGATCTGCTGAGGGAAGAAAGAGAGAAGCCAGATTAAAACAAGATATGCCTTCCATTTGTCCACACCCTAGTTACACCCATTTCTCCAACTCCAGGGGTTGCTAAAGTTGAATGCTGAGTAGATGCAGAAAGCAGCAAATGCCACTCTATGTAACCCTCTATGTAACCCTGTGGTGTGTTTCAAAGATCAAATGCAATTCATTGGCCTATAAGCTCTATTTAGATTCTAATGTACAGTACAGTAAGTACATGACATGTTTTAAGTTGCTACGTACAGGTAGTCCCCAGTTTAAGAACAAGTTCTGCTCCGAAGGACTGTCATTATTTCATTCTAAAATACTGTGATAACATCTGGGTTTAATTGAAGGCAGCCATGTATGTAACTTAACAATATTTATCTTAGCCAGGCCCTAAAACTGATGTTTAGACAGCCTTTTTATCCCTGACTTCCCCAGCTATTATTCCTCCTGATATATGTCTTTGTCTTTAATGCATTGCTTTTATTCTTTTTTCACTCTGCTTTTACACCTTTTTACCTAATTTATCATATACTTTTATAACCAACACAAACAGGCTTTGGATTTTTAAAATAAGAAATGGCAACTATTTTAATACACATACATACCTTCCTACTCATCTGAATGGCATCAGTATCAAAAGAATCTAGTACTTTAAATCGATTTCCTGTTCTCATGATCCTGTCTTATTCTAAAACTGGCTGTCTTAGTGAGTTGCACCAATATTTTCAGAAAGTTTTCTCTATTCAGAAGACAAATTGAATTCAATGGGGCTTACTGCCAAATAAATGGGCATCTGACTGTACTGCTTCAGGTAGTAAATGTGGGGGGGGGGGAGGTACTGAGTAAAGCCTCTAATATAGGAGGAGAGTTATGTTAAGAAGATGACACTGAATCTTCTGTTTGATTTACTAGAATTTTTAAGGATTCAAATATGTGCACTTCTATCTGGTGCAATTTGCAAAGGACTTTACAGCTAACGGTACAGCTGAATACACAAATGTATCCTTCCTTTCAGCGTGTAGCAGCTTATTAGAAAGACATAATACACTTTTTTGTAGGTTGGTAAATATGTTTTACCAAGAACACCCTTGTCATCTACTAATCAGATTTTGGATGAATTTGGATTCTTGCAATCTGATTCATTTACCCTTAAAACACTTCCTTCTAGTAACTTAATCATTTTCCAGTTATCTTCTAATATATTACTAGTTATTTATCAGTATCTAAAGATAAATTATACCATTTTAAAAAAAAATTGGCCAAGTTATTTGGACCCAGCCTGCCTAGGTATATATTTATCTAGGAGTATTCTCCACTGAAAACAACTAACATGTAAATGGGCATTTATACTGTCACTTAAACGATTAATAGAATTCTAAAAATGGAAGATTACATTTAGAATTTTAGGCCGCTCCATCCTAAAGGCTTGAAGAAACAGTAAAACAGAAACATGTTCTTTTGCTCAGATTAATCATTTGCAGCAAACGCAATGAAGAGTTCCTTAGCTTATCTTGAACAAGCAAATCAGGGTCAGAATGGTTAGTGCTTAGTTAGGATACTTTAGCAAATCTGAAAGCTGAAGACTAGAC